ATGTCCTTTTTGGAGAAGTATGTATTCAGGTACTTTGCCCATTTTTAAAATTTGATTGTTGGTTTTTTGGTGTTGAGTTGTATGAGTTCTTTATAAATTTTGGATATTAATCCCTTATCACGTGCATCATTCGCAAATATCTTATTCCATTCAGTAGGTTGTCTTTTCTTTTTGTTTATAGTTTTCTTTGCTGTGTAAAACTTTTTAGTTTGATGTCCCATTTGTTTTTTTCTTTTGTTTCCCTTGCCTGAGAAGATATGTCAGAAAAAAGATTGCTAAGAGAAATGTTCAAGATTTTACCGCCTATGTTTTTTTCTAGTTTTATGGTTTTGAGTCTTTAATTCATTTTGAGCTTATTTTTGGATATAGTATGAAGGTGGTCTAGTTTCATTTTTTGGCATGTATTTATCTGCCCAACTATCTTTATCCCATTGTATGTTTTTGCCTCCTTTGTCATATATTTATTGACCATAAAGGCCTGGGTTTATTTCTGAGCTCTCAATTATATTCCATTGATCTGTGTGTCTGTTTTTATGCCGGTACCATACTGTTTTAATTACTGCAGCTCTGTGGTATAGTTTGATATCAGATAGCATGATACCTCCAACTTTGTTCTTTCTCAAGATTGCTGTGGCTATTTATGATCTTTTGTGGTTCCATATAAATTTTTGGATTATTTGTTCTAGTTCTGTGAAAAACACCATTGGTATTTTGATAGGAATTGTGTTGAATCTGTAGATTGCTTTGGGTGGGGCAGACATTTTAATGATGTTAATTTTTTTATCCATGAACACGGTATGTGCTTCCATTTATTTGTATCTTCTTTAGTGTCGTATAATTTTTTGAATACAGGTCATTTACCTCCTTCATTAAGTTACTCCTGGTAATTTTATTTTCTGATGCAATTGTAAATGGGAATTTTTTTTTTAAGTTTCTCTTTCTGATAGTTCACTATTTGTGTATAAAAATGCAACTGACTTCTGAACATTTATTTTTGTATCCTACTTAAGTTAACTGAATTCACTGATAAGTTCCAGCAGTTTTTTGATGGGATATTTAGGGTTCTCTATACAGTATCATGTCATCTGCAAATGACAGTTTTACTTTTTTCTTTCCAGTTTGGAGGCCTTTTATTTCTTCTTCTTGTCTGATTGCTGTGGTTAGGACTTCCAGTACTATGTTGAATAAGAGTGGTGAAAGTGGACATCCCTGCCCCTGCCTGTTCCTGATCTTTTTTTTTTTTTTAAGATTTTTACTTGATTTTTATTATTAAAAAAAATATCTTATTGATTTGAGAGAGAGGAAGGGAGAGGGAGAGAGAGAGATAGAAACATCAATGATGAGAGAGTCATTGATCGGCTACCCCCTGCATGCCCCGACTGGGGATCGAGCCTGCAACCCGGGCATGTGCCCTGACAGGGAATTGAACCTTTATCTCCTGGATCCTAGGTCCATGCTCAACCGCTGAGCCACTCTCAGCCGGGCTTAATTGATTTTTAAAGAGAGAGGAAGGGAGAGGGAGAGAGGGAGTGGAACATCAATCGACTGCCTCCTGCACTCAACCTGGGCATGTGCCTTGACTGGGAATCCAATCAGCAACCTTTTGATGCAGGGGACAGTGCCCAAACAACTGAGCCACACTGGCCAGTGCTTATTCCTGACCTTAAGGGTAGTACTTTTAGTTTTTGCCCATTGAATATGATGTTGGTTGTAGGTATGTCATATATGGCCTTTATTATGTTGAGGTATGTTCCCTCTATTCCCACTTTGCTGAGAGTTTTTATCATAAATGGGTGCTGGGCTTTTTAAAATGCCTTTTCTGCATCTATTGATATGATCATATGATTTTTATTCTTCATTTTGTTTACGTGCGGTATCACGTTAATTGATTTACGGATATTGTACCAACTTTGCATCCCAGGAATAAATCCCACTTGATTGTGGTGTGTGATCTTTTTAGTGTATATATTTAGATGCTCAAATTTTGTTGAGGATATTTGCATGTGTTCATTGGGAATATTGGCCTATAATTTTCTTTCTTTGTAGTGTCTTTATCTGGTTCCTTAGGTGTAAGGTTAGATTGTTTATTGGAGAATTTTCTTGTTTCTTGAGGTAGGCCTGTATTGCTATGAATTTTCCTCTTAGGACTTTTTTCACTGTGTCCCATAGATTTTGGATTGTTGTGTTTTCATTTTCACTTGTCTCAAGGTATCTTTTAATGTCTTCCTTGGTCTCATTGTTAACCCATTGATTGTTTAGTAACATGTTATTTAGGTGGCTTTTTTGTTTTTTAATCCTCCCCCAGGGATATTTTTTTCCATTGCTTTTTCAGAGAGTGGAAGGGAGAGAGAGAGAAAGA